GGAGGATCAGGACTGTCACACAGGGGCTGACAGTGTGGGGATGGAGGATCAGGACTGTCACACAGGGGCTGACAGTGTGGGGATGGAGGAAAGAAGGACAGTGAGGACAGGGGTCTTGGCTAGCTACATTCTGACTTCCTGGGTGGTGGACACCATGTCCATGAACAAGCTTGGCCACTGGTCTAGCTCCTGGGAGCCTCTGGTGGTGAAGGCAGTGGTGGTGAATGTTGGGTGGGAGTCTGGGAGCCCACAGCTGGCTAATGGGGTGTTTGGACTGTGGCAATTCGGATGGCATCCAGGGTGTACCTCAGTGTGCTTGTTCAAAGCCAAGTGTGTGTCCAGTCCCGCGGCCCATCTCGGGCTGTGGCGATACACCCTGAGACCAGTATCCAGGCCATGCTGGGGCCTGTGCGGCCTGTGCGGGGCCTGCTCTGGCCAGCAGCTGGCCCACATAGCAGGTGGATGCTAACACAGCTCCATTCAAACTGTCTTATAAGCCCTGTCTGGCCCACTCCAGAGGGGATTTCCTGCCTCCTTTCACCCCTGGGAGGCCTCTTTTTTTCCTTCCTTTTCTCCCTTTGCTCTCAGAATCTTAGGGCTGTGGGGTCAGCAGCCCCCCCGGGCACCTGGGCGCACCTGGAGTAGAGGTAGGCCATGAGCCCCAGAGGTGTGCCGGCCTGCAGGACGCGGGCCTTCTGCCCACCCCCGCACGGGGGCCTGTTGACGTTGTAGAAGATGAGGGAGGAGGACTCGTCCAGGGGGCTGAAGTCCAGCGTGTCACAGGGGGCGGCGGCAATGTTCACAATCACGGGCAGGGCACAGGGCTCCACACCCCAGCGCTCCGCATAGGTGACCTGGGAGGCAGGGGGAGGTCAGCGGTCAGTGCTGGGCCCCGTGGGCTCACCCTGCTGCCGACCGAGGGATGTTGGCGTTTCGAGGCCCTGCTGCCCCCTCCCTTGGCCCGTTTGTGACCCGACGTGGCCTGGTCTGCCGCACAAGGGCAGGAAGGATCCTGTCCTGAGCTGCGCTCAGTTGCTCTGGGCTGGAGGGTGAGCCACTTGCCTGTAAGTACTTCCTGACCAGGCCGAGGAACTGCACCTTGGACTTCATCTCCTCCAGCTGCCCTCGGAGCTTACACAGCATGGTCTTCACCTCGGAGCCTGTGGGCACACGGCGCTCGCTCGCGGCCGGCTCGCGGCACGGTCGCTCGCCCGTGGCACAGACCATGCTCAGCCTTCCCTTACCTTTGCCCCGCTTTTCCTTCTGTAAGAGCTTCTGGTAGAACTTCAGGGTCTTCCTGTAGTTTCTTTTCTCTATCATGAGCTGCTGCTCCAGTTCCTAAGAGGGCAGGGGGTGTCAGGCAAGCCCGGCTCGCCCCCATGCAAGGGGTAGGGGGTGTCAGGCAAGCCCGGCTCGCCCCCATGCAGGGGGCAGACACGGAAGGCGGAAGGCGAGGTGGCTCGCGGGGACGTGTGGCTGGTGCGGCCGCCCTGCGGTGCAGGGCACCAGGGCCAGGGCTGTTTGTTTGGCGCAAGGAGGAGAAGAGGACCAGGGATGAAGACAAGCCGTGAGCACCCCCGCGGGGAGCTGCCGCACTGGCCCACGCCGAGGCTGTGGTCTGGCCCCCAAGGATGCCAGCACCTGGGTGCAGGCCGGTGGGTAGCGAAGGCCCCACACCTCCGAACCCGACCCGCCCTGAGACTCCGGCCTCCCTGAGACTCGCCCAAGTCTGCTGAGATGCGTTCCCTCCCCCGGCTGGCCCCAGGGCCCCTCGGAGTCCTCAGACTTCTGCTCAGGAGGACAGGGGCCTTGTGCTCCTGGGGACCAGCTCAGGGCAGGGTCAGCAGGGGCAGATGTGGCTGGCTCCCCCCGCCAAATGTGTGTCCTCGGGGGCCTCCATCATCATCATGTGGATTCTAGCTAAGTCCTGTACTCTGGAGCCCACGGCTGAACTGCTGTGGGGGCTGGGCACTGCCCAGTCATTTCTAGTTTCTCTATATGCCTGCGAGTGGGCACACACCACTTACCTAGAATCTGGGTTCTTGCTTGTGAGTGGGGAGCTTCAGCTGGGACTGGGTGGGAGGGAAGAGATGGGTGCTAGCCCGTATGGATCCTGACAGCTTACTCAGGGAGGTGGGTTGGGGCTAGGTCCGTGGGATCCTGGATCCCGGGAAGGAGGGCCAGAGCCGCCACGCTTCTGCAGGTGTCCAGCACCCGCTGGGTTTGAACTGATCTGCAGAGGGGTGCTGGCGGTGCTGGCTTAGGATTTGCCTTCCTGTGCCTGGTAGGCCGGCCCTCTGGGCACAATGTCCTCTCTGGGACTGGGCTGTGGGCCTGTGTGAGCTGGACACCTGTGACTGGGACGGGAGGATGGTGTGGGGAGCTGGGCTGGGGCAGAGGGTGAGGAGCGGCAAGCCTGAAAAGTCATCAATACCTCGGGGCCCTGCCGCAGACCAGCTGCGACCCACGGGTCTGCATCCACTCAGTGGGAGCGGACCTCACGGGGGCCGAGTCCACTCAGCCGAGGCGTACGAGTCTGTGGGGCTCAGGGAGCAGGGGCTGAGTCAACAGAACCTGGGAAGACCCAGCCTCGGCCCCACCAAGCCTCCAGCAGCATGCTCCGGAGGCGGGGCACTGCCCCACCTGCCCGGGGGTGGTGAGCCTCCACCGTCCTGGTCCAGTTCTGACCTCAGACAGCCGGGTGGATGTGAGGGTCCCATGCCAGGGTTGGCTGAGCCAGCCCCTCTCCTGGGCAGGGGCAGAGCCGTTCCTAGGCTGCACCGTGCCGTGAGCTGCCAGCGACATGTGTGTCTATACAGAGGCAGTCTAGACAATTAACATGAATTCAACGAAGATGCTGGCTCCTTAACTCACACCGGCCATCATTCCACTGGCGGGCTCAGCAGTAGCCCCCCCCTTTGTGGACAGTGCCAATCTAGAACATTCTGCCAGTGAGGATCCCCACCAACCCTGCAGGTGGAGATGGAGCAGGCATTCCCTACCCTGGAGCTGTGCCAGCCCTGAAGGTGTCCACCCATGATCTCCTGTGACCCTGGCTCTCTGGGACAGAGGCGGGAGCTATGTCCCCCAGGGGTGCACAGGGCTCTTCTGTCCCTGGGGGAGGTCAGCCTACACCAGGCCCCATTCACCTTATCACCTGTCTGTGGGAGACACCTGATAGTTCTTGTCTTCCTGGGGGGAGTTACATGCTGCTCTCTACAGCATGGCTCACAAACCGCGAGGTTGGAGTCAACAGTCTCAGTTATAGTTCACAGTCTTGACATTCAAAAATGTCAGCAACACTGCTCATTACTGGATAATAGGCAGGTGTAAAAATGTGGTTTTGACCCACCATAGAAAAATTTACATAACCTAAGATTCACACAAGCTGGTGCTAGCAGCCCCTACCTGAAATCCGGGCTAGTTAGGAGGCTGAGATCTGAGTACTGAGATTCAAAGCCAGCCTGGCCAGACTCTGGGGCCTACCTGATCCCTCCAACAACATAGTCTGGGCTCCGGAGCCTTCCTGATCCCTCCATCAGCACAGCCTGGGCTCTGGAGCCTTCCTGATCCCTCCACCAGCACAGCCTGGGCTCTGGAGCCTTCCTGATCCCTCCATCAGCACAGCCTGGGCTCCGGACCCTTCCTGATCCCACCACCAGCACAGCCTGGGCTCTGGAGCCTTCCTGATCCCTCCACCAGCACAGCCTGGGCTCTGAAGTCTTCCTGATCCCTC